CGGTTGTTCACATATTTAATCCCACCACTGGCCACACAGGTCCTCTTACAACCATGCCTGCTCTAGAACTCTTCATAAAAAATTATCTGGCAACTGTAGGAATAGAACACTAAACTAGGTAAACCTTTCATCTGATCCATGATAGCTTAATTTAATTTTTTTCTGCAGAGTAATAATTGTGTGTAAAATATTGTCATCAATATTTTAACCAATTATACCAAAGAAAAGTTGATTGAAAAGTTCTACATGATTTTTCATCCCTTATGTCAGTGGTGGCGAACCTATGGCACACCTGCCAGAAGTGGCACTCAGAGCCCTCTCTGTTGGCACGCATGCCACCGCCACCACCAGCAGGTCCATCAGGCCGCCACTGCTGCCCGGAGCAGGAGCTCCACCCAGCACAAAGGGGGCGAAGCAGCCGACTAGCAAGCTCGAGTAGAGGTGGTAAAGCAGAGGTCACCAACCATTGTCGATTGGTGGACTGGAAGAAAAGAGAGGGGGAAGCATTTTACATGCATGCATGCACACATGGGGCCACGAGCATGCACGCACTACAAATGGGGTGGGGCTAGTGCCTACTCACTAGCCCTGCCCCGTTCTTGCGTGGTGCAGCGGCTTGTATCTGTACCCTGCAGTGCCGCCGCGGCCGTTTTTGCACCTTGTAGCTTGGTGGTCCATTTTTGCACCCCCAGTTTTTGCATGCCAGAGGCAGCACTCAGAGGCGCCTCCCTGCCCCCCCAAGCGCACCACAATGCTGATGCAGCCCTGGCACTTTGCAATAAATAAGTGGGGTTTGGGTTGCAGTTTGGGACTCAGTCTCTAAAATGTTCGCCATCACTGGCCTAGGAGGATGAATCTTAAAACCAGGGTTAACTTTTACTTTGTCGTACCGCAGATAGGCATGCCAATCAAATCTCAAATCAAAACCTTCGAGGTCTAATAGCCTTGAATTTTTTAAAGTTATCCAATCTTTTAACCATACCAGACAAATGTTCTTAATTAGCTGGAGCTTTTATGGAAGTGAGAAACCATGAAAGGAAAAGGAAAGCGCATGGACATCAGAGAGATCATTCCATGGATAACATAGGGCAGTGATGGTGAACCTTTTAGAGACCGAGTGCCCAAAAACTGGCCCTGCCCCCACCCCACCCCGCCTGCCCACAGGGCCACTCATCACCTCCAGGACCCGCCGCAGATCGCCCAGCAGCGCCATGGCAGCCACGCCCTCTGCCCGCACCCCACAGCATCAACTGTGCGCGATGGGGCATAAGGGCAGAGTCTCGTCTACGCTGCCTGGCTTCCATGTCCTTGGCTGCGCTGCTCCACGTGGGCCACACTCAGGGGCGACTCTTCTCCAGGAGGGCTACTGGTAAGGAGAGGGTCACGGGAGGAGGCAAGGCTGGGGCAACGGCATGTGTGCCCACAGAGAGGGCTCCGAGTGCTGCCTCTGGCACCTGTGCCATAGGTTCGCCACCACTGCCCTATAATGTCCATCATATAAAGTTATGAAAAGTAAATGTTAACACCACCTCACTTTTTTTAAAAAAATCCTTTCATAGCTTTTCTGTTAAAATGAACAGGCTTTCTATCTTAAGTTCGAATATTAATATATTCGGAGGAGGAAGAGCAGCACAAAAATAAAATTAGTAACAATAGCCTTACCTATATTTTACTACAGTAAAGAAAAATGTTCACTATTGAGGAAAGTCAAGTCAGGATTCAGTTCAACTACAGTCATGGATATACCTTCTTTCATCATCAAGAAATTTCAATTACCAATTGGGGATAAAGGATAGGATTTAAAAGTGTAAAGCTGTGCTTTTTATACAGAAGCAAGACTCTTCCAACCAAGTTCCTACATCATGATGCCAAGGAGTTTGACCACATGAAATTTAGCAAAATAATGACCAATGCTACTCAATTATCAAAGAACACCTTATTTTCAACTGGTTTTCAACATGTTTTTTTCATTCTCTGATAATTATTTCTAAGTGATATCAACAGAAAGATGGTGTTCACAAATTAGTTAAGTGGATTTGCCATTCACAAACTCATTTCTTGCACTTAATGGATGCACATAGGCAGAGGCGTAGCGTGGGGGGTGCAGGGGGGGCCGGCCGCACCGGGCGCAACATCTGGGGGGGCACGCTCGCACTCGCAGCTCTCTGCCCCTGCCTGGCTCACTCACTCTCTCTGCAGTGCTGGCTGTGCGAATCCGATCCGAGCCGCCGGGTCGCCGCCGCCGCCCACTGTGGAGGGGGGCGCAAATTACTTGCCCCGGGTGCTGACAACCCACGCTACGCCACTGCACATAGGGACTCAATGTAGGAGAACTGTGGGAATATTAACATACATGTGCACATTTAGGGATATGAGACCCAGTCTGGTCTAGTGGTTAAGGCACTAAGCTAAAACCCAAGAGACTGAGTTCTAGTCCCACTTTAGGCATGAAATCTGCCTGGGTGACTCTGGACCAGTCACTCTCTCTTAGCCCATGATGTCAGATGCAGATGATAAACCGATCATTCAATCCCTGTAGCAACCAAGGAATCAATAGTAGGTTGATCTGAAAAAAGGGGACTCTGCATTTGTGGGGGGGGGGGAACTAGGAAGAAAAAAAAATGCATACTTGGGATGTAGCTTCATTTTTCCTGAGCCTTTATCCAATACTGCTGCTAAAGGATGGCTCATTTAACATTCGCAGAGGGAAGCCCTTCCCAGAATTTCATGTGACTGATGGTCTACTACACAGCTAAGTGTGCAGGGTGAACATCATGACATAAGTGGAGCTGAAACCTGTTTCCAGGGGTGGGGCTCACAGGTAGACTCTGATTTAGGAGACAGAGCCAATAAGAGCCAGTGCATGCCTTGGTCAGAGGATTGATCCTGCTGCCTAGAATGACTTGTCTTTAAGCAACAGCATGTGAGCCTCTCCCACCTGCTTCCCAAGGAAATGAACACATTCCCCTCCAGTTTAGCTCAAGGAAAGATGAAAACATGCTTAAAACACTCAAGTATTACCAACCTGTTTTAAAATACAGCAAACACACACACCCATACAACAAGCCAGCTTACACGATAGAAGGAAGACAACATTCACAGCCATGAAGCACAAAATTATTGAAGCCCCTGGCAAATTAAGCAGCTGGAGATTTCTCTCCCATTTACCAAGAGGAAGCATTCCCAGGACCTATTTTCAAGTGACAGTTTGAAAACCTGGGAGTGGCATCAACTAGCAAGGAAGGAAGCCATGTTAACCCCTCCTCAATCAGTACCCAATCATAACAAAAGGCTACTATAAGGCTGGGAAGTAACAGAAGATCAGAGGAAAGGATTAAGAATCCCAAAGGGGCAGAAAGGACCAAACACTGCAGCTCATGGCCTTTTCCTTTCAAAGTCTTCCAAAACTATATAATGCAGATTATTAGTGTGTGTACATGTCCAAACAAGGATCTTAATCTGCCCGCTGCATCAGCAGCTGTGAACAAAACTTACTTCACTATTCTCTCAGACCACTCCCTAAACTGCATGACAGGAAAAAGAAAAGTGCAATCAAAACCCACAACTACCTACAGTTTTGGCAAAAGGCTCAAAGAGAATACTACCACTGGAAGAGGAAAACCGGTGGGATAAAGAAAGTATCACAATTAATATTGGTTGCTTCTAGAAGATGCAACCCCTGGCACTCCTATTATTCAGGCGTCACCCCCCCCCCACCCCCCCATCCCTGGCGCCGACAGGAAGTGTTTACAGAAAGCACAGTCACAATATAGCTGGGAACAGAGACAGGCAAGCAGGTGGTAGTCAACCCTCCCATTCCCGAGCCCCAAAACCCATCCGATTCTCCAGGGCAGCAAAAATTCCCCGCTCTAGAAAAACGCTGAGCCGCTGAACTTCCTCCCGCCAAGATGTGCCGGTCCACAGCCTAATATTAGCGCCTGTGAGGCGGCGGCGGCGGCGGCGGCTGCTAGACCGGGAAAGCGCGGGGAGGGGGGAATCGGAGAGCTTGTTGTCACACACCATCCTTGGACACGCCTCGCCCCTTTGCACAGCGTTCCACGCAGGGCTTTCTTAAGCCGTAGAGCAGGGGTAGTCAACCTTGGCTCTTTTATGACTCGTGGACTTCAACTCCCAGAATTCCTGAGCCAGCTGTGCTGGCTCAGGAATTCTGGGAGTTGAAGTCCACGAGTCATAAAAGAGCCAAGGTTGACTACCCCTGCCGTAGAGCCATCCCTGCGTAGAATTGCACTTTGGCATTTGGATTTCACAAGTGGACGATTAGCAAGGAGGAGCCCAAACCTCCAGAATGAAACCCACACGCCTGGCAGAATCCGAGTCACCCTTCAACCTCCTTGCGATCTCTTCTAACGTCCCTCGACTTGACAATCGGACACACCCCGTAACAGCCGCCTTCTCGCACACGAGACTGTTCCCCCTGACAGACGCAATCACGGTGTCTTCCCTTCTTGTAACGCCGACGACCGCCTCCCACGTTGCTTTTGGCCGAGGGAAGCGCCACCTCCCAAAACTGATACCCCTTCCGATTCTCTCCTACTTACGGGTAGCAACGAGGGTGGTGGGGATGATGCCGATAACCTACGGAGGGTGAGGCTGGCCTTTACACCCCACTTCAGAGATTCGGGCTACAACTGCTGCGGCTTCAGCCAAGATCCAGGGAAAGAGACGTTCTACAACCCGCCTTCCCTCCCCCATTTTGACTCATAAAAGCCCAAATGCAACTAGCAGCTCCGTACACGGCTACCCTGGGGCGCGCCGTGTGAACCACTGCAGGACCTCTGGCTATTACAGCCCGCACCTTGAATATTCCCCAACGGCTACCAGCTGAACCGGAGAACGCCCACAGATCCGCAGGCGCTTCGTTGCCGCCTTTCCGAGCGCTGCTAAGGAATTACTTACACAGGTGAGCCGAATCAAGCTTCAGAGAACGTGCTTCTAGCCCAAAACCAGCATTAAGAATTGGAGGAGGAAGCTCTACTTACTAGTTATAGCCTGCGAGGTTTTCTTTGCAAACCAGAAAAGCAAAGCCGCCTTTTCCTAGAGATTTTTATTATTATTTTTTTTTTTAAAAAAGAGAAGGAAGCGTGCGAGGAAATGCAAAGTTTGCGCGGTCACTGGAAAAGAGAAGAGACTCCGCGTCCCCCCTCCACCGAAGACTGGCTGCTTGCTCTTAGTCAATGCTCCGTTGGTCCGATGCAGCGGCGAACTTTCCACCTAGCCGGCGGAGGAGCCCCGTGTTTGCAGCGCCCTCCCCGCATTGGCACCCAGCATTGAGGCACCCGCTCCGCCCGGGTGCTGCCGTGACGGCGGCTTGGACAATGTGTGCGCGCAAAGCCAGCCCCAGGCAGCGGGCGGCACACGCCCAAACGCCGCTCGCCGCCCACTCGTCACTCTCAACCTCCCGGAGCAGCTGATAGGCGCTCCTGCTTAACCTTCGGGCGCCGGGCTGCGGCTCCCCCACTCCTCCGACCTCGTGGTCGGCTGCGAGACACGTCAATCACTCCCAGAGCAACCTTCTCCCTCGGCCCCGCCCGCTGCTGTGTTGTTGCTGCTGCTGCTGCTCCGGCCTGGGCTTTCGGAGGGCGGCGAGGGGCTGGAGGAGGAGGAGGAGGGAGGGAGGAAATGGGTGTAGCGAGCTGGAAGAAGGGAATCGCCCCTCGCGAGGCTTATTTTTAGAGTCTGCTGCTTCCTCCAGGCAAATAAAGCGTCCTCCTCCTCCTCCTCTGCCGGGATGAGGAGATGCGCGCCCTCCCTTCCTTCCGAGGTAAATATTCCATCCAGGTTTAGTTCTCTTCTGAGCGAGGCCTCACTCGGCAGCACTCCCCCCATTTCCTTCCTCTTTTTTTAGGACCCCTTTTTGTGCGTAGCTCGGCTGTGCCGCTGTGTCCGCTCTTCTGCTGCTGCTGCTGCTCCTACCGTTGGGGCCTCTTCTCTGTTATTCTTTCCCTGCCTGCGCAGAGAATTGCTGGCTGTGAAGTCAGTAGGATGTGGGAATCCGCGCTCGCCTGTTTGGAAAAGGCAGAAGGGCGGAAGAATAGGAAAGCGCACAAAGGAATGGCAGCTTTCCCCAACCTGGCGCTCTCCAGAACTGAAGTACAAATCCCATTATCCCCCCCCCCCCCAACGGTTGTGTGAGCCGCATTATCCTGGGCAGGCACTAGAGTTCCGGTAGCCAGGGTAGAAGATTGTAAATTTGCATCCTTCTTACTCACGGGTCTGCTAATTAGACTAGTAAGGAAACATTGCAAACAATGGGTCTTAAAAGTTAAACGTTCTCCAAAGTGAGGGACGTTTATAAGATTTTGGCTTTGAAGATTGACTTGGAATTGAGTGGCCAGTGTGTGGTCAAATATATACCTGTAGAATTCGGATTATTAGTGTAAAAAATGTTTTGGAAGATTTTTTTTTTTGTTATTCTGATTTAAGCTATTATTTAAAAACAGTACTGTGCATATCCTGAAAAAAATGTAAATTATCTTTTTTGCAGACTTTATCCAGACTGTACAGAATAAGTGATGAAACACAAACTCCCTGCTGTGAAACCAAATACTGTACAAACATTGCAAAGAATAAAACAAGATCAAAATAAAATAGCTTTAAAAATGCTCCTTTAAATTGAACATTTTTCTCTTTAGTTTTTTATTCATATAAAATAGTGCTTAGCATTGTGATATGCCCAAAGTTCTGCAAATAAATGTACATTTACTATATTTTATATCACTGTACTCTACATAGACTTGTGTACAAAAAAGTAGTCATAAAAATATCAAAATTAAAGCAAATATAGCAATACATTAACACCATTAATTCCTTCAGCATTGTTATGTGATGTAGCAGGGATCCCAATTATTGATCTTAACCACTCTGAACAGCTTTATTTTGATGGCTTTCCTGCAATTCAGAAGCAATGTTGCCATCCAGTTTTCTGGTAGGAGCCTATTCCATAAGAAAGATAACTATTATAGAAAACCCTATATTACTTGCTCTTGCCTAAATGTCTCGTGGAAGGAACCCTTGTCCAAAGTGGGTGGGTAGGATCCATTGGAAGCAGATGATCCTGTGGATTCTTAGGAGCCAAGCAATATATAGCTTTAGGTCAAAACCACCACTTTGAACGGTATCTGGGATCCCATTGGTTTGCAATGCGGAACTCCCAAGATTGATACCATGTATAAAGTAATTCATGTTTAAGTAATGGCATTCCATCTACAAGCAAGCTGCTGCATCTGGAGCCAATGCATCTTTTGAGTACCCTTCAAAAGCAGTTAATGTAGAGCAGACATGTCAAATTCGTGATGTCACGTATCGGAGCTTTTTCCCCATTGCCGGCAATGGGGTGGGCGCGGTTTCCTGATGAGCAGTTTGACACCCCTGATGTAGAGTGTATTGAAGTAATCTAATTGGGAGATGACAAATCTCAGTCAAGATTTCCAGGACTCCTGGAAAGTCCACACCAAGCAATTCTGGGCCAGGCTCCCCTAACAACAGCTCCAACTGACTTATCTAGCCATGAGTCTAGAAGGACCCCCAAGTCACAGACTGGCTCCTTTGTGGAGAGTGCTACTCCATCCAAAGTCACCGTACGAGTAAACTCAGGCCCAATTGGCTAGGAATAGTGAATGAACAACAGCTCAGTCTTGCTGAGATTCAATCTTAGTTTCTTTCTCTCCATAAAGATATTTACAGTCTCCAGGCACTGGGTTAGAATTTTCAGTGCAGGTCTGGACTGGGATGGAGATGCAGCTCTGGGGTTCTGATTATACCATCACTAATAGATGACTTCTCCCATCAGTATTCATTAAGCAACAGAGACGAACCTTGTGTCATCCCACTTTGAAGCAATCAATGAGTTAATCTCTCCTCCTCCATACTTAGGGACTGAATCCGCCCATTCAGGAAGAAGCAAAACCACTGCAAACAGTGCCCTGACTCCCAATCCTTAGGAACCAAGGCCAAATTTCAACCAAAAGTTTACTGGGTGGGGTCTTAAACCATAATATAGTTTGTTTGATTTGGGCACTACAGCTTAGTCTGTTCTGCACACCTAGCCATTTACAGCTTACTCAATAAGTTATGGTTTAAAATAGCATGTAAGCAAAGCCATTCGGAGTTCAGTGGCAAGAGATGCTACATTATATTTGGTGAGCAACATTCAGAGGATGTTCTTTCACGTACACCATCCTGTTGCTCTCTAATCTAACCGTGTCCTAACTGCATTTGTTGAGCAATCAGACTGTCATATGGGAACTCTCCAGTGCAGCCTGAGAATGAAGTAAGCACATTCTAACAGCTATAGCATTGTATTAACTGAGCTAGTTATAGAAAGGAAAATGATCAGGACAGAAACAAAATACAAGCTGCCCCAAAGCTGGCCTTTGGCCTGATTTGCAGGCATTACAGCAGCTCTGAGAAGGAGGAATAGATTAAAGAAAATGTTCCAGCTGATCTCATATTGCTAGGGCCTAAGCAGCATGCATATTTCAGAGCAGCAATCTCAGGCCAATCACTCTTAATGGGCCATAAGTGCACATGTAGAAATCTAGTTCAGTTTTTTTTTCTTTAAAAAGTCAGATCTGTAGAACAATAGCTACTGCTTTTATCATCCTGCTGTAAACCATGCCTGCTAAGTCAGTGTATGTATTTCTCTAACATGCCAAACCACGAGCAAACAAATCATGATGAATTAATACTATGTTTGGACCATAGGACCCATTAAAGGAATTTGTAGTTGAAGGAGCACTTGGTTATAGGCTAACAGCAAAGATCTTCGCATGAAGAAATTGAGAAGGAGCAGATCCTCCAATCAATGTATATGATACCTCCAATCCAATGTATATGATAGCAAGCTAGTAGCCGAAGGAGCTTGCTATCACATATTGGAGGATCTGCTCCTCTATTTCGTCATGCGAAGATCTTTGCTGTTAGCCTATAATCAAGTGCTCCTTCAGCCGCCAATTCTGCTTCTTTAATAAATTTCTGCAGTCTCTTCTGTGGTCAAATCTGCAACACTGAGAATGATTTCACCATCCTCCCTATTAATTGGCCTGAATATGTGGTATTAACGAGGAACAAAGATTTGGAGGAAAATCCATACTTCCCTCTAGCTCAGTGGTTCTCAACCTGTGGGTCGGGACCCCATTTGGGGTCGATCAACCATTTCACGGGGGTCGCCAAACAAGGCTGTCCGCCATTTTTTTTGTCTGCCATTTTTTCCCCTTTTCCGGCGGGTGCCTTACCTCCCTTGGGCTGGGCCAGCTGGTGGTCGGCCTGCTCCGTCTCTGCCTCTTGCCAGCTATGCCTCGGCCGGCGCAGGGGGCGGAACCACGCATGCGCGGCGCTCCCGGGCAGGGAAAGTCCTCGACTTACGACCGGTTGGGTAGTCCTCGACTTACGACCGGTTTAGTCCTCGACTTACGACCGGTTTAGTCCTCGACTTATGACCGGTTTAGTTCTCGACTTACGACCGGTTGGGGTCGCGGCATTAAAAAGGTTGAGAACCACTGCTCTAGCTCTTCTTGGAGATGGTTCGTCAGTAAAACTTTTCTGGTAATACTTTACAAGTTGTTTTAAGTAGTTTAATAATGAGCTATTTCTGGGATCAAACTTGATCATTTTGGGATGTGTGTTTTAGTGAAAAGTAAAGTGCTTCCTTTTATCACCTAAGAATATGACACAAGCACTTTGCTATAGCAACCCTGCCCATGAAATAGAATAATGTTGATCATAAGATACTGGTTGCTATGGTGAGTAAAGCTGAGATTGGTGGCTTTGCATCATTTAGAAAACAGGTTCTTGTCAATAAGAGCCTTTACTAGGATATACCTGAGATAAGAGTCAACTAAAAGTCCAACAACTAATAAAAATAAAATACATAAAGTTATTTATTATACAAAAGTGATCAGATACAGACAAGTGATTCATAATCTGTCTCCTATAAAGAACTGAAACTGAACTGGGAATTATATATTCTTCCCTTAACTGATAAAACATTGCACCTACAAAATATGCATTAGGTTTGATAAATCTATTTTGTCTTTTAGTGACCAAGAAAGAAAGAGGAATCACATTGTATATCTGCTGGGATGCATTTGGTTCTGTATGTACCATTTCTGATATTTAGGTTTAGCTTCTTTTGAAGCTTTTTGTT